ATGTACATGCATATTCTCAAATAGAAGCCCAATTTTTCTGCCTTTAATTCAGAAACAGGCTTGTTCTATTTTATGGATCTACTATACATGTACTTCCATTTACTTAATGCACATAAACCCCTCAGCTTCTAATTGAGAGAGTCTTTCATTTGAGAATACATGTATATTGTAGGGATATTTTCAATTTACCAACTGCATCGGCTAATTTTGTCATTCTATTAGTCGTGGTGGAACTCGTTAATAAACCAGCTGCTATGTTGACTGGATAGGCTGGGAGTTCGCCTAGAAACGAGGCAGGATAAGGATAGTCTACCATAGCCATTGTAGTGAAGGCATCACGTGCCCATCCTTGCAGGTGTTCAACCTAAACAGTGATATAGGAGAGAATAAAAAATAGAGTACATGGAGCAAAAATTATCTGATTCAAATTAAATTTGGATTTTTAATAAATTTTTAAAGTTCCTCTAAATTTTAACTATAATAGCCCTGTGCTATAGTGCAGGATATATTGACAAAAATGGCTAAGACAAAATTTTCCATTTTATATTTTTTTCCTGATACATATACATGTTCTTATGTTGTGTAGAAAGTTTGAGCTGATTCTGATCAAAACTGATTTTTTAATGAATTTTTAAAGTTGCTCCAAAATCGGGTCAAAGTCCCTGTACTATAGTACACGGTCTCGGGCCAAATTTCGCCAAAAACAAAAAGGTGAGAATTTTCCATTTTTATAATTTTTCCTAATACACATACATGTTCTTATATTGTGCAGAAAGTTTGAGCTGATTCCGATCAAAACTGGATTTTTTATGAATTTTTAAAGTTGCTAAAATCCCAAACCAACCCCCCCATTACCTTATCGACAGTCAATGTATTGCAGAGTCTCATTGAGTCAGTTATAAATTGAAAATTCCCTTCATAAGCATTCTTAATAATATCAGCATACGCTCCTCTCACAACATCAGGACTTGCACTGTCAGCATCAGCAAAATCCTACAAAAAATAAAACAAGAAAAAAAAACAATAATAACAATAAAAAATGTAAATAATTCTACAAGGTATATTACATACATGTACATAATTATACATGCATTTAACAGTAATGCAAATGAGAGGCTTCAAATCTAATAAGTGCTAATTTCAATTGACACATACCTGCGTCACTTTCTGGAAGAATGCTGTAGACTCGGTAAGTCCGGCTGTCATGTACATGGGAGCACTGGCGGCCAGTGCCCCATCAAACACAGCAGGATACTGGTATCTTAGCAGTGCAGCAAGGATACCGCCATAACTATGTGCATAAAAGTACAATAACTCATAAATATTAGTCAAATAAAATTCTCAACAAATCAAGGTGTATATAAGCAGAAATTGTCCTTTACTATGTTTGATATATTGCTGGATGTAAGTACATGTACAAATTACAGAATAGCATCAAAAACATCTATTGATGAATCAAAGGAGGAAACACCAAATGCCATTAATTTCTATAGGTACAGAGTATTGAAAACATTGATAAATTATTGTAAATCTTCATTCTAATCTATTGATATTCGACTGTACTTTATAAAACACATCAAATTAAAATTGATCACCAAAAAGTATAGTAATACTATAGTGCATGCACCTCTTCCCTGCCAAGTGATTTATTTATAAAGTACATGTAGTAGGTTTAAAGTACATGTATAACTGCTGCTTAGTGCCAATCACATGTACTTCAGAAAGGAAGTCAACTTAGTCAAGGACTACCTATAACTGTAACCAAGAGTAGATTAGTTAGAATTATCTACTCTTGATGTAACTGTATGAAAGTTCCCTTCCAAGTTTTGAGCTGCTCTGCACAA